TCTCTCTCTCCCCCCCCCCTCGGCATCGAGGGCTACTACTACTCACATTGGTCGACGGTCGACACAGAAGCATCCAGCAAGCTACAGGCGCCGGGGGCAAGCCGCGAGTCCACGCACAAGTTCGTGTCTGCGAGAAAAAAAATGCAGTGAGAGGTCAACCAAGGGTCAGCAAGGGAGTGAGAGGTCAACCAAGGGTCAGCAAGGGAGTGAGAGGTCAACCAAGGGTCAGCAAGGGAGCGAGAGGTCAACCAAGGGTCAGCAAGGGTCGCCGACGTCAGGTTCGCGGCTAGAAGCAACAAGCTTTTGTTTTTTCGTCTCGACGGGCAGCAAGTGGGCACTGCCGCCGGCGCTGCCGGAGAAAAGATGGGCGCGCGGGAAATATTTACTAGCGCAGAAAGTTCCTCAAGTACTGCCTTCACTTGCTGCCGACTGTTATAATAGTAATATGTATAATACTTAGTGTCACCTTAAAAGATATGGTTGTGTGTACTTACCACAGATGGAGCCACTGTATTCAGCATTGGCTGACCTTAGGAAACATGTCTAAATAAACAAGTCTCATCTAAAACCAGCTTCTCTCCTCACTTACACCACACATCAAACCTTGTAACACCGACGTTGAGAGAAGACAGCAAACTGACCCTTGTAGGCAGCAAACTAGCGAACGCCATGCGGACAGCCGGGTGCGAAATTAACGGGAGTCCGGAGTCAAATACTCCCTGATTTACTGTCGCACTCCCTGATTTGACATATGCAGGAGTCCGTGTGACTCCCTGAAAATTGTGTTATACGCACTAACTAGTTCATTCCAGAGCACGGCCTACGTGGAATTATCGTTTTTTTTTCAGCAAATGTCCCAATAAAATTTGGCAGACGAGCAACGAAAATGTCCTGCAATGCCCAATGCATTATTGTTCATATCTTTAGTTTTGAACTTCAGGCTGCAGACTCCCTCATTTTGCTGCAGACTCTCTTTTTGAGAGCAGGGAGTACAACTTTAAAAGTTTAACTTCTACGTTCTTTACTGTCAGAGCCAGGAAAAAAAATATAATTTATTTTTCAGGGGCTATTTTTCAAGCTCGCGTGCATGAAAATAGCACTCTAAAATTTGGTTTGCATTGAAATCAATGCAAATTTACGGGGGCTCTTTTTGCTATTTCCGGGGCTCTTTTTGGCATTTCGGGGGCTAAATCGCCCCGAACCCCCGTGTATTTTTTTCACTGGTCAGAGCTTACCTCGAGGTTTGGAGCAGTAGACGTAAAGACAGTCATCGACGGCGGCGCACTCAACACACGACAAACTGAAGTTGCCGCAGATGACTGCCGGCGCCCCCTGGTCCTCGCCTGCCGGCGCCCCCTCGTCCTCGCCTGTCGGCGCCCCCTGGTGCTCGCCGGGAGCTCCTAGCGAAGTGGATTCTGCGAGAAACGGGGCGAGCTGTGAGCGACGCGGCGTCAAACATGAGACAGATACAGCGTGTGGTGCATTAGTACATCGTAGCGGAGTGCTACTCAGTACTAAAACTAAGCCTACTAGTACAATTAATTTCATGGTACTTGGTACAATTTCTCAGTACTTGGTACTTTTACTTACTAGTAGTAGTACTAGTAATTAATATTAGAATAGTAATAATACTAATATTACTAAATAATACTAATAGTATTAGTAATACTACTACTAGCTCTAGTACTATAGCCCGCGGAAAGTGGGTCCAAATTACTAAAAGTGGGTCTGAATTGTTGGGTCCAAACTACGGTGGGTTCTAATTACTCGAAACCGCACCAGCTACCATAGCTCTAGTACTATAGCCCGCGGATAGCTGCCGCAGGGCTATAGAACATTGTCAGCTCGATTTCGTATCTGCACTTGGTCCCCGATTGGTTCCACGACAAATTGTTCAGAAAACGCAAAATGATCAGGCTTTTTAACACTTATCTATTAACATGGACATCTCACCTATCTTTTTGAACACTTTCCACAACGTTACACCATGTATTTATCCATTTATTCCTAAAAGTATCAGCACTACTTCCAAATTCCGTTTGAAATGCTGTGTGTGCACGCGTGACGTCACCCGAAATGTAGCTGCATCATAGGCAAAACACATGGCAGCTACACTGTGGCAGCTATGAAGAATGTACAATAATACCTTCCTTCCTGAACAACAGTGAAACATGGACCAACATAACTAAGGAAGAATTTAAAATGTTAGAAGACTCCCAAAATGAATACCTACGTAAAATAATAAAAGCTCATAGTAAAACACCATTGGAAGCACTAAGGATAGAATTGGGAATTTTACCAATAACTGATAAAATAGCATACAAAAAACTTATGCTACTTCAATACATAATTAAGTTAGATAACAATAGATTAATAAAGAAAGTATTTATACAGCAGATCAAAGAGGAAGGAAGAAACTGGGGAAATGAAATCTTAATAATCCTAGAGGAGTACGAACTAGAAATCTCATTTACAGCCATAGGATTAAAACCAAAAAGAGCCTGGAAAAAACAAGTCAAAGATGCCATACTAAAACGAGTAATTAAAAGAGACAAATTGAAAACTAGAGGCAAAACAAAAATGAACATGATAAACATTGAAACATACGGATTGAAGGAATATATGAAAGAATTATCATTTACCGATTCGTGTTGTGGATTGCATGATTGATCTAAAAGGATACTTTAAAAATAATTTTAGCAATGATAAGTGTAATAGATGTAATAAGGATATGAAAGAAGATATGGAACATTTATATAATTGTGATAGTTATGAAATATATAAGGAGGGACAACAAATAGATAACTGGAAAAGGGACAGCCATGGAATATTAAAACCAGCGTTAGAATATGTACGAAAAATTCTGGCGATTCGTGACACTAACATTTAGAGAATTAGAGGCGACATTTATCCCTTTGTTTTCTAGATGAACCCCGCACTCGTTGATTCGGGTGCCTTGTGAAATACAAGAGAGGGCGCTAAGATACAAGATACGATGCAGCTACATTCACACAGCATTTCAAACGGAATTTGGAAGTAGTGCTGGCACTTTTAGGAATAAATGGATAAATACATGGTGTAACGTTGTGGAAAGTGTTCAAAAAGATAGGTGAGATGTCCATGTTGATGGATAAGTGTTAAAAAGACCGATCATTTTGCGTTTTCTGAGCCATTTTTCGTGGAACCAATCGGGACCAAGTGCAGAAACGAAATCGAGCTGACAATGTTCTATAATCTATAGCCCTGCGGCAGCTATCCGCGGGCTATAGTACTAGAGCTATACTACTACTACTATTACTAAGTACTAGTAGTACTAGTACTACTATTACTAAGTACTAGTAGTACTAGTACTACTACTACCACTGTACCAGTACCACTGGCACTGGCACTACACTAGATTATAGTAACTGAATTTTGATCATGGATGGCAACCATAAAAAAAACATTACCCTGCCCAAAACCTGCAGCTATCACACTGCACAATATCACGGTTACGATATTCATCTTGTTACTGTTGTAAACACGTTCCGTGGAACAATTTCGAAGTTACGTCCACGTTTCAATCGGGTGTTCAGTTGTTGTCCAACTTGTTGATGTACTGTGTTGATGTGTTGATGACGCAGTAACATGCTAAACTAAATGCTCACTTGTTCCTGTGTTGCACTCTGGGATAAATTTGCGTGTCCAAGCGGCAAGACGGCTGACGTAACCCAGTGCAGTGAACACAACACATGAATGAAATACCAGACGCCGCATTTTAACTAGTAAATCTGTTTCCTGGTGTCTCAGAGGCGTAAGTAATGCAAAACTGCTAGCCGAGTGTCCTTTTTACAGCGGACAAATGAATGGAAAATGTTAGAAAATATTGCACTTCCTTTCATAAGTCACTAGTATTAGTAATCTTACTCGTAGATTGCAATATTGCAATTAGCTCTAGACTAGTAGTACTAGTAGTAGTAGCTCCAAGAAACGGTATTGCTAGGGTTAGAATACCGTGTGATTTGACGTTAGTCACACAGCCTGGTCGGGTTAGACTAGTAGTAGTAGTAGTACTAGTGGTTCAAGGATAGAGAACATGGGCCCCATTGAAACCTATGTCATTTTCGTAAATGTGGGGGTGGGGGTGAACACATACGTTACAAACGCATCGTAATATGTGCATCTAGATAGCTACCAAGAATAAATACGCATGACAAGCGTACGTCTACATTTGTTGTCCTAGCGGCGTAGCGCATTCCTGGATACGGTACCATATGCCATGGTAATAATATGCTAATTCATTACTACAAGGCCGTAGGTTGAGCAAATTCCTAGGGGGTGTCACGGTCTGAGATTACCCCCAGTCTGAAATTACCCCTAGCACCTCGTGCGCATGCGTGACGCATGCGCAGTAGCGCTGGATAATGAGACTGCCGCGGCCACAGTCTGAGATTAGTCTGGCAGTAGGATATGGTGTGTATTCTGTTTCATAATTCGATTCAAATTCATTCGATGCGTGAATCGAATGATTCGATGCATC